CAGGACTACTAGGGTTAAAATCTAACCTCACACACATCTTAGCCATGTAACTTAGACAAGTCACTTAACGCTTTTGAGCTTCATTTCCTCCTCCATAAAATGAAGAGGCTGGACTAGATGACCTTTTCATTCTTCCTCAAACTTCCTACAACTCTCCCTCCCTTAACCGTCTCAGATGAGAACTGTATCCTACTGAAAAAACAAACAAACAAACAAACAACTTTGCCTATGGAAAAAAAAAGGCCATTCATCAAGATCTCTCCCTTCTATTCTCTTCTTCATCTCATACACCATCAAGATGCTTTTTGATACTGTGGCTTCCTTCATCCCAGTCTCACAAAATGAGGTGACCCTTCTTAATAGGGCAATTCTCTCTACTTGCACAAGGGATCCTGTGACATGCTGTCTTCTCTAGCAGGTTACTGCTTCTTGTCATCCTCACTCTTATCCTTAACCTCTCCCTGTCAACTGGCTGTTCCCCTACTGCCTACAAACAGTAGATTCCTCCACTGCCTTTCTTCTCACTCTTTTAATTGTCCACAATCCGACTTCCAACCTCATTGTTCAACTGAAATGGCTTTCCCCAAAGTTATTAATGATCTCTTAATTGCCAGATTTGATGTCCTTTTCTCAGTCAACATCCTTCTTGATCTCTCTGCAGCTTTTGACAACTGCTGACCATCCTCTTCAACTTGATTCTCTCTTCTCTCTAGGTTTTGACTCTACTTTCTCCTTCTCTACTCCTACCTTTCTGACTGCTTCTTCTCAGTATTCTTGACTGATTCTCCATCCTACTTTCATGCCTTTCCACAGAGCTCTCTCATGGGCTGTCTTCTCTTCTCCCTCCATGCTAGATGTGCCAAATACACAGGCCCTTAATGTCCTTAAACCAGAATAAAGTCTAATTGGAAAGATTTAACAAAATAAATAAAAATACAATAACACATAGATAACATTACATTTTAAAACTAAGTCCATAAGTGGCTTGTAGGAATCCTTATGTATAGATTAGTGGTCCCCATTTCCATTCCAGTTTGACATCACTACCCTCTGTTATTTGTTTCTGCAAAAACTTTTCAACTTTATATAATCAAAATTATCCATTTTATATTTTGTAATGCTCTCTATATCTTGTTTGGTCATAAATTCATCCCTTATCTGTAGATTTGACAGGTAAACTATTCCATGCTCTCCTAATTTTCTTATGGTATCACTTTTCATATCTAAATCATGTACCCATTTTGACTTTATCTTGGTATATGGTGTGAGATGTTGGTCTATACCTAGTTTCTGCCATACTGTTTTCTAGTGTTCCCAGCAGTTTTTGTCCCTAAGGTTTAGATCTTTGGTTTTATCAAACACTAAATTATTATGGTCATTTACTATGATGTACTGTGTACCTAACCTATTCCACTGATCCACCACTCTATTTCTTAGGCAGTACCACATTTGTTTTGATGATTATTGCTTTTTAATAAAGTCTGAGATCTGGTATGGGGAGGTCACCTTCCTTCACATTTTTTTTCATTGATTCCCTTGATATTCTTAACTTTTTGTTCTTCCAGATGAGTTTTGTTATAATTTTTTCGAGCTCTACAAAATATTTTTTGGTAGTTTGATTGGTATGGCACTGAATAAGTAGATTAATTTAGGTAGAACTGTCATTTTTATTATATCAGCTCAGCCTACACATGAGCAATTAATATTTTTCCAATTGTTTAGATCTGACTTTATTTGTCTGAGAAGTGTTTTGTAATTGTATTCATATACGTCCCAGGTTTATATTGGCAAGTAGACTCCCAAGTATTTTATACAGTCTACAGTTGTTTTAAATGGAATTTTTCTTTCTATCTCTTCTTGTTGGACTTTGTTGGTAATGTATAGACTGCTGATGATTTATGTGTATTTATTTTATAGCCTGTAACTTTGACAGTTGTTAATTATTTCAATTAGTTTTTTAGTTTATTCTCTAGGATTTTCTAAGTATACCATAACATCTGCAAAGAGTGATACTTTTATTTTCTCATTGCCTACTCTAATTTCTTTTCTTCTCTTATTGCTATAGCTAGCATTTTAAATACAATATTGAATAACAGAGGTGATAATGGACATTCTTGCTTCACTCCTGATCTTACTGGGAAGGCTTCTAGCTTATTCCCATTATAGACAATTGTTGATGGTTTTAGATAGGTATTACTTATTTTAAGGAAAGCTCCATTTATTCCTATGTTCTCTAGTATTCTTAATAGGAATGGGTATTGCATTTTGTCAAATTTTTTCTCCTTTCTTAAAATTTTCCCTATCTACTGGATTTTTCTCTTCTGTCTGCAAACTCCTGTCTCTCCCTCATTTTTAAAAAATTTTCACTTCACCTATTCATCCCTGTTAGCTACCATTCTATATTTCTCTTCTCCTTTGTGGCTAAACTAGAAAAAGTTGCTTACAACTGGAGCCTCAATTTCCTCTCCTCTTCCTCTCTTCTAAATCCTCAGCAAACTGGTTTCCAACCTGAGTGTTCAACTGAAACTACTCTCTCCAAAGTTTCCACTGATCTTTTAATTGGCAAATCTGATGGCCAATTTTTCTCAATCTTGATTCTCCTTAACCTTTCTGAAACATTTGATACTGAGGTTTCATTTTACAACTGATCATCTTCTCCTGGATATTCTCTCCTCTCTAGGTTTTTGTGATATTAATCTTTACTGGTTCTTTTATCTGTCTGACCATTCCTTTTCAGTTGCCTTTGCTGTCATAACCACCTTCTTTGGTATCCACTACTTTTTTTCCCCTCTATCTCTTTTTGCTCTATTTTGCTTGATTGGTGATCTCAATGGCTTCCATGGGTTCAATTATCACCTTTATACAGATGATTTTCACCTCTAAATAACCAGCCCTAGTCTCTCTCCTGAGGTATACTTACACATCTCCAGCTGCCTCTTGGACACACATCTCAAATTCAACATGTATGAAACAGAATTCATTATTTTTCTCCCTAACCAATTCCTACTTCTGAATTTGCCTGTCACTCTCGAGGGTACCACAATCCTCCTATTCACTCAAGACCATAACCACAGTGTCATAAATTCCTCACTCTTACTCATACCACATATCCATTCCACTGTCAAATCTAGCTGTTTCTCCCTTTATAACATCTCTTCTACACATCCCTTCTCTACACTTATATAGCTACTCCTACAGGCTCTCATTATTTTTTTGCCTCAACTAGCACAAGGGCCTTCTAATTGCTCTCCTTACTTCATGCGTCTCCCTTCTTCAACCCATCCTCCACTCAACTGCCAAAATGATTTTTCTTAAGCATGCTTTGTTATGTTATATTAAGTAGTTTCTCAGTCATGTCTGACTCTCTATGACCTAATTTTCTTGGCAAAGATACTGAAGTGGTTTGCCATTTCCTTCTCCGGTTCATTTTTACAAATAAGGAACTGAGGCAAACAGTTTAAGTGACTTGCCCAACCAGTAAATGTCTGAGGACAGATTTAAACTCAGGAAGATGAGTCTTCCTGACGCTAGGCCTACCATTCTATTCACCTCCCCACCTAGCTGCTCCTTTCCAAAGCACAGATCTAATGATATCACTCCTGGGGGTTGGAGTACCACCTCCAACCTCAACAAGGCCCAGTGGTTCTCTGTTACCTCCAGGATCAATATAAAGTCCTGTGTTTGTTTGTTTGTTTTTTTTAATTAGGCAATGGGATTAAGTGACTTGCCCAGGGTCACACAGCTAGTAAGTGTTATGTGTCTGAGGCTGTATTTGAACTCAGGTCCTCCTGAATCCAGGGCTGGTGCTCTATCCACTGTGCCACCTAGCTGCCCCTTATAAAGCCCTCTGTTTGGTGTTTAAAACCTTCTACAACCTGGCCTCTTCCTACCTTTACAATCTTTTTATATCATTCTCCCTTCCATATGCTCTCCACAATATAGCTAAATGCAACTATGATGTGTTCCTTGTACACGACATTCCATTTCCTCTCTGTGCCTTTGTACAAACTGTCCCCCAGACCTAATTCCTTATCCCCACCTCTTACTTTCCCTGACTTCCTTCAAGACCCAACTTAGAATCTACCTTCTACAGGAGGCCTTTCTGATTTTCCCTAGTTGCAAATCCCTGCTCCTTTCGGAGTACATAGAAAATATTCTGTATGGATAGAGCACTGAGCCTGGAGGCAGGAAGATCTGAGTTCAAATTTGGCCTTGGAAACTTTGTAGCAGTGTGATCCCGGGCAATTCACTTAACCTCTGTTTGCCTCACTTTCCTCATCTGTAAAATGGGGATAATAATAACACCCACTTCTTAGAGTTCTTGTAAGGATCAAATGAGATAATAATTGTAAAGCACCTAGCACAGTGCCTGGCACAGAGTAAGCAGTATAGAAATATTAGCTATTATTATTTTTATTAAATGAGATAAAAGTTATAAAGCATTTAGCATATAATAAGTACTATAGAAATGTTAGCTATTATGTACTTAGAAATTTACATGTTGTTCACCCCATCTGTCCCTGCCAATTGAAATACAGACTCCATTAAGGCAGGCACGATTTTTTGCCTTTTTTTGTATTCCCAGAGTTTAGCTCAGTGCCTGGCACAAAGCAAGAGCTTAATAAATGCCTGATGACTGACTGACTGATTAGTATAGCACATCTCTGGCAGGTCCCTTGAAGAGGATCAATCACAGCGTTATCCATTGCTTAAGGACCAGCCATCATAAGCTGGGAGTTGCTTGGTACCACCTTAGTCACTAAGAGACGACATTTTTAGCCACAGGGATTCATGAAAACTCTGCTCAATGACAGCTGGGTTGTGATCTTTATCAGTGGAGGGAGCAACCACAGTAAATTATAGCTTCTCCGAATTTTGAATATATATAAACATATTTATATATAAATACTTATGTGTGTATGTTCATGTTCCAGATCCTTCAGGATGTGGATAGATAAGATAAAAAGCTACACTCAAGTGCAACAGGAAATTTTACTTACTTTGCTCTCTTGGCCATCTCATTGCCATCCCATCGTGGGCTGTATGGGTAATTTTTCTGGGCCTGAGAGTACAACTGTCCACTATTGGTAAAGTGGTAGACTGATTGGAAGGTGAGAGTAGGCTGGTCTCGAGGAAAATACAGGGGAAGGTCAACTGCAAAGACAAAAGAAAAAAAGAAAAAGAAAAACAGTAAATGCATTGATGGAAGTGAAGACATTTTCTCAGCTTCATTTGACTTCAGGCTACAGCCATAATTAATTACCAGACCTGAACTGAGTTAACATTATATGGCTAGGATGGGATTCTAGTTCCAGATCTACTAGTGATTAGTCGTATGGCTTAGGGCAAGCCTCTTTATTGCCCTGGTTGTCATTTCTTCATCCTGGCACCTATGCTTGATTCTGGGCTATAGACAGAGACATCTGAGACATAGTTAAAGGTCTTAAGGCATTTATAATCTAGTGAAATGAAGTGAGATCTACATGAAAAGTTTACTAACAGTATAAGGTACCTTGAGTACATGTTATGTGATTAATGACTAATAAGTACTACAGAAACTCAGAGAAAGGAGAGAGTGCTCAGAGAAGATAAGACTTGAGCTGTGTCTTAAAGGATGGTTTAGATAGGTAGAAGGGTAGTGTTGGGTTAAGTTTAAAAAAATTCATTTATTCAACAAATACTTCTTGAGCATCCACGATGTAGAATCTCTCCTCCTTCTTCTTCCTCTTACTCCTCCTCTTCTTTTTTGGTAACCTTATCAACTCGCATGGGTATAAGTACATCTTGATGATGCTCAGATCTATACATCCAGCCTAGTCTCTCCCTGAGCTTCAGTCCCACATCAACAATTGCCTATTGAATAATTAAAAGTGGATATCCCAGAGATACCTTAAATTCAACATGTCCAAAACTGAAATCATCTTTCCTCTCGAGCTCTTCCCTCTTCCAAACCTCCTTATTTTTATTAAAGGCTCAAGGTCAAAGCCTAGGTATCATCCTGGACTTATCACTGTCCCTCACCTTACAAATCCAAATAGTTGCCAAATCTTGTCATTTCTTCTACACCTGTAACATCTTTGTATCTAATGCCTTCTTTCCACTTTCTTGTTCTAGCTCTCACTGCCTCTCTCTCTAGATTACTGCAGCAGTCTTATATTTGGTCCTCCTGCTTCAAGTCTCTCCCAACTCCAAGTCAACGTACACACTTTTGCCAAAGTGATTTTCCTTAGAACAGATTTGCCCATCTGGCTCCCCTACTTAGTCAACAATACAGGCTTCCTATCACCTCTAGGATAAAATATAAGCTCCTTTGTTTAGCTTTTATAGTCTTAAATACCCTGGCTCCAACCTATCTTTTGAGCCTCACTGGCTATTACTCTCCCTCCTGCTCTCTGTGTTCATCAAACTGGACTTTATTCTCTTCTGTATACACAATATTCCATCTCTTGTCTGTGCTTTTAAACTGCCTCATTGCCACAGTAAGAATGCATAGCATACTTCTGCCTAATGGATTCTCTCTCTATCTTCCTTTAAGAAGCAGCTCAGGTACTATTTTCTACAGGAAGCTTCTCCTGATCTGCTCAACTGCTAAAGCCCTCTCCTCCCAAAATACCTTATAAACTATATTGTATATATTTGTATTTATTGCCTTACAGTTATGCTATACATATTTACATATGTACATGCCTACCTTATATTCCATAAGCTCTTTCTGTTTGGAGATTATTTCATTTTTTGTACTCATATCCCTAGTGCATAGCATTGTGCCAGGGACATCGTAGGTTCTTAATATATACTTGTTGATTCACTGATGCTCCAGAGCGACAGTGAGTAGACTACCATGGTCAGAACAGAGGGTTCATATTGGGGAGTAATAAAATATAAGGCTGGAGAAGTAGGTTGCTGTCAGATTGGGGATGATGCCTGAATGTCAATTCCACAAAGATGTGTCTACTATAGAAAACCACCTATTACAAGTGGTTGTTCTGTCCCCATGTTTTCATCCAAGGGAACTTCAATATAGGGACAGCTAAGTGGTGCAGTGGATAAAGTGCCAAGACTGGAGTAAAGAAGACTCATCTTTGTGAGTTCAAATCTGGCCTCAGACAATTAACTGGCTCTGTGACCCTGAATAAATCCCTTAAACTGTTTGGCTCAGTTCCTCATCTGTAAAACTGAACTGAAGAAGGAAATGGCAAACCACTTCAGAATCTTTGCTAAGAAGAACCCAAATAGGGTCACAAAGAGTTGGACACAGGGCAGCTAGGTGGCACAGTGGATACAGCACTGGCCCTGGAGTCAGGAGAAACTGAGTTCAAATCCAGCCTCAGACACATAATATTCACTAGCTGTGTGACTATGGGCAACTCACTTAACCCCAATTGCCTCACAAAAAAAACAAAAACAAAAACAAAGAGTTGGACACAATTGAAAAACAACAAAGGGAGCTTATATGTTCAGACCATGACCATAAAGATTTAATTAAAATAGGCATATATATTGATAGCTACAGATATTTTCCTGGTTGCCTTTTTTTTGTGTGTGTTTTTGATTTTTTTTCCATTCTTAAGAGGATTTGTCTTATATTCTGGAAATCCACCTCTAAATGACTTTAAAATTATGTAATTTTTAAATAGCCAATCAGCATGGCTTTTTAGACTCATGTACATTGAATTCAATGTCAATGGGGATTTCTTTAACAGTTCTATTGGTGAATTTCAACTGATTTCAATTAAAGAGTTTTTAGGATTTTTAATGTCCACCTTTTAGCCTCATTTTCTCAAAGTTCAACAAAGTCATTTCAGTTCTTAGTAACTTACATCAAAACAAATTTATCTAAGAAAATATTAAGGAAACATTGTCATCATTGTTCCTGGTTCAGGGGTTGGCTCTTCAGTTTAACTTAGCTATGGTATAGTCCTAGGAAGCTGAAATTAACAAAAGACTAACTTTAGAATAAATGACTTATTGCCACTATTTACTTTAAAAACACTTTACAAAGTTAACTCATCATCACAGCACCCTGTGATCCTTCCTATGAAGGAGATTAGGGAGAGAAAGAGTCTCAGGGGAAGGTTACTTAAGGAACAAAGGTAATTAAGTGAGCTGGATTCGAGGAATCACTCCAGATTAATGAAAACAATAGCAAGGTTATGGAGAAATGGAGAACAAACTGCTGAACGGTAATCAGTAAAAATAGCATAAAGGATAGAAACTAGGCCAGAATCGTAAGGAAGGGCACAAAGAAAGAACTATCTTATGGGAAAACAATCAGGCTGTGTTTGCACAATGCAAAAACAACTGGTCAGTTGAGTTCATTCAATGAAAAAAAATTATTCAAACCATTTGTTTCTTATTGTTTTGGAAAAAACATTGCTTGGTTCAAGTTTTTCCACTTTTCAATGGGCTCTTTTGGTATCATATTCAATGTGGCTGTAGTAAACAGAATGTTGGACTTTAAGTCTGGAAGACCAACACTATTAGCTGTGTGACCATGAACAAGTCATTTAACCTGCATAAATCTCTGATTCCTCTTTTGCAAAAATAGGATAATCTCTGTAGTACTTACCTCACAGGGTTGTTTGAAGCTCCTATCAGTTGTTATCATCATAGAGATCTCATGATAGTTGACACTTACATAGAGCTTTGGCACAACCTATGTGGTAGGTACAAGCCCATCTTACAGATGAGGAAGCAGGTTCAGAGAGGTTAAATGTTGCACAAACACAGTTAGTAAATGCAACAGGAATTTCAAATCAAGTCTCTCCTGACTCGACATACAGCATTCTTTCCACTACCCACATCGCTTACTTATCCCAAACTCAAGAAAATTATGATGTGGTCCCTGCTTAGCTACACAATCCTATTTGTCATTTTTTCCTAACATGTAACTTCAGCTCAAGGAGTAAAGCAGGTCTGTTTACTATCTCCCATGTTCATGTCTATCTCCTTGCCTTTGCATATTCTGTTTCTCCTGCCTAGAGTGTGCTTTTTCTTTCTATTCATTTAAGGCTTAGTTTGTCAAGCCGTTGCACTTTCCATGTACCCGTTCCTATTCTTGCACTTCCTTGCCAGCTGGTTTTGCATCACCTCACTGCAGACCTTTAGGCCAGGTTCTCTTGCCCAGAAGTGGCTCTACCTGGGGGAAGAGTAAAATAACTATACTTGAGGTCTGCATAGTAGCTGCCTCAGGATAATTTCCTTGATGCTAGCACTAACTATCCAATCCCCCACTTTTTTAGTTGTCAGGAACTCCATACTGCTGATGACTGTCTAACCACCCACTTCATGCTGCACCTTCAGTTCCTGTAGATTTGGCAATCACTAACTGGCTTCCTGGCTCACTAGGTCCTCTAGTATCTGTGCTCTCTTGTTTTATTTGCTAACCTGGTTTTTGATCTCCTTGATTTGGAGATTTATATATTTTGTGAGCACTCAGTGTCCCAGCTACCCATTCATTCCCTTATGCCTGAGGCAATACTTGAAACAATCAACTCAAGTTCCATTCTTCCATGAAGCCTTGTCTGACGCTCCAAACCACATGATTTCTACTATATTTGTATTCAGTACCACATAGTTAGGTTAGTACTTAGGTTAAACAATTAGAAAATAATGATGTGAATTTTCTCTAGGGGTTAAACTGCTAGCTCCTTGAAGTAAGATTTTAAACTTGTGTTTCTCAGGTAGAACATACAGTTTACACAGATTCTCAATACACACCTGCTGATTGACTGAAAAAGATGGATCACATAAGGGTCATTCAGTTCATTTTTGTTTTCCTTATTTTTTAAGGTATGTGAAAGTATTTTATATTTCTGTCTCTTAAAATTAAGTTGCTTTTTTATTTATTTTTGTTCTTTGATTTTGTTCCCTACTATTAGTGTCCTTTGATAGGAAAAAATGAGGTCTGGTCTATGAAGACAGGCAAAAAGAATTAAGATTATGTAGCCTATAGAAGAGAAGGCTGACAGATTAAAGAACTTTCTGTGAAAAAGGCACAGTGAGGATCTGTTTCCATGTTCAAAAGGAAAATTTCTATGTTCTATCTTGCACATGCAACATTACATTGGATGATGAGGGATATAATTTAGAGAAAAATAGTTCTGATTATGAGGCTGTAAAACCGTTACAGGAAAAATCTTCTTGGAAATCTT